TGGACCAGTTGGTTCAAAGAGTGTGGTGCGTAGCTCGAACTTAGTCTTGAGCCAACCCCCCCTGGTCTGACCTGGTTACCCCTTTGACCAAGTCCGCATAGGACAAAACAGTGGTAGAGTTGTTTTGGTTTTCAAAAAAAATTTGAAAACTTTTCCACAAATGCCTCTTTGCTTTTGGCCTTTAACTTTTCAGCTTCCTCATTTAGAGAAACCTTCACTCCAGCGGCTGCCACATGTCCAGACTTCCTTTGCTCAAACCTGCCAACAGTAACCCATCTTGCCATGTCATCATCTCCCTCAAGCTTCGACCTCCCCAGCCACTGCAACATTTCAACTTCCGAACTCACCCAAACTTTATACCAATAGCCTTCTGCGCATATTTGTACTACCCTTGGAACTTCCTCAGGCTTCATTCCAGCAACTCTCAAGTGTGTTGCCCTCAAATCTGTGATCTTATACGACAAAAGAACACCGCCCATCGCTTGCACCAGATTCTCCAAGGTTGATTTTTGCCAAAGATGAAAGGGTAAACCCAGCAGCTTTAGTTTAAAGCTTCCATCTACAGCAGCAACCTCATTTGAAAGAGGACACCAATTTTCAATTCTTACAGGACCTTCACTCGTTTCCAACATAGTGAAATCCATCAACAACTCACCCACATCAAGGACTGCTTTCCTATCGTTGAAAAGAATAAGGATGACCGTCTGGTTCAATCCAAGCTTTGTTGTCACCTCTTCTAGCAGCCCCTTCCAGTCCTTCACCTCCTCCCTCGCAGATAAGATGTATTTCTTTTCCCAGTTTCCTTTCTCCCCATCCAATGCAATTGTTGGTTCTAGGATAGTAAATGCCACAGTTGGCTTTCCTTGGGTTCCCACTATGTCTTCTAAGTCACAGTTAGAAAACCCACTGATGGCCAACCTACCAAAAGAAGCATTGGTTAAAGAATATTTTCAATGTTAAAAGGGGTAGGTTTCCTAAACATCCCTAGAGGTCATGGAGACCCCAAGTACCTTGTTGGAGTTTCTTTGAATATTAAGTATCCTCAGATATTTTGATCATATGGTCCTAGTTTTAAATCTTTGAAATTTCATAAACATTTCAACCCTAGACTCGAGATTGCATAACCTAAACAATCCTCTAAATTTTCAATGCATGGTAGGTCATGGATGCACAACGAACATACAAAACTGCTTTGAATTTGCCTGCAATATATTTCTATAATTCAGTAGAATGGGAACTCAAAAACTGAAATAGGTAAAACGAAATTTTATTCAAGAAAAGAAAATACAACAATTGGCTCAAACAAAAGCAACCCAAGCCCAAAGAGACAAGACAAGGCAACGCTACATGGACCGAAAGAGAACAGGTCCATAAATGAGACACAACAAACAAGAAGAGCCAAAATTAATACTCCTTCCGAGATGGGATGCTTGAGTATCTGTAACAGGATCAGCACACAGGCCAGTACCAAAAACCAAAGGAAAATTAATACCTGGAGACACAGGGGCTGACTGAGTACAAAAAGCTTTTTAGATGAGGATTAACACAGGAGACCTCTGCTATTCCCCTTGCAGGAGTTTGTTGAGAAGTGGGTATGGATAAGTAAACTCCCTCGGCTAATCTATTTGCTGGAAAAGCTTGCCCCTGTGTTGCTCTTTCTGAGCTATCCCCGCATATCTCCTTTACAGAGTCCTGCTCCCCTTTGCTAACTTCTTGAAAAAACTGAGAAGCTGGGACGACCCCCTCAAAGGAAGGAGAAATGGAATGTGCAGTATCAGACCCAGACAATTCAGACCTCCGACCTGCATTCTCTCCATCTCCAGCCCCTTTTTGTTCTTCCAGAAATAGAATTTCTGTATTAAGGCTTTCCTCTTCCATCAAATTCACATTTCGTTGCAGATCAACACTACCCAAACTGACTGTGTCATCAGAACCTGACTCGTCACTATCTTCTTCCTCAGACCAGTCGTCCCCTGCTAAGGCATCCAGACCGCTGTGCTTAATATACCTTGGGTTGCATCTATCAGGCAACGGCGATTTCAATTTCTGCATCGGAATCCACTGTAGAGAGTCGAGCACAGATGAACCTGCACCTGAACCTTTCAGCCGAGAGGAAGCTGTTGATGAAGAAGACGATAGATGGTTCTTACCATCTATCAAAGCCACCCCCTGCCGGACACATGAGCTTTAAGTGACTCAAGTGTCTCACCCTTTGATCCTGCTGTATCTTCAGTCACATGAATTTTTAAACACTCATCCATCCCATTTTGAGCAGTTTTAAGCCCAGATTGCTTCAGCCCATTACTATTAGTGGGACTTGCTAAATTCTGCTGCCCCTTGCAACCAGAAGTGTTCAGCACGTGACCACTTAATTTGTCACACCCAGAACCAAATAACGACGCTTCAGCTCCCTCTTTTCTTGGTTCGGGTTGGTTCAGGCCTACCATCCCCCCTTCATTTGATAACTTTTGAACCAAATATCTGCCACCTTTGACCACCTGCGCATAAGACCTACTACACGCCAACCTGTTGCCTTGTTCACCACTCTTCTGATCTTCCATTTGCCTCAAACCTTCCAGCCCCTTTAGCTCCTGTTTACTCTTTTTGGTGAAACTTGTATTCCTGTTTGAAATCACCAATCCCCTTGATCCACGCAATACATCTTCTTCCACCCTTTCATCCTCCTTCCGAGCCTCCTTCCACAAGCCTGCTTCTATGGAGGAAGCCAACCATATCGAGTAGAAGCAACCCCCCACTCTTAAGTCGATTTTTCTCAGCAGATCTTCTGGCCTTACTCCACTTAATAATATAGCAGCCGAGCAGAGATCTCCCCAGAAAGCACCAGTGAGATGCCCTCCACACAACTGGGCTATGGCTTCAGCCACTTCTTGCCTCCATAAGTGGAAAGGCAAACGCAAAATACGTACAATCACATCATCTTCAATAGAAAACTCTTTAGAGTTGGAAGGAGTTTTCAACTCTTACAGCTATCAAAAGGGGTTACAATAAAAATGCCTTTCAATTTCAAGTTTTGTATCAGTAAGTCTGCAACTCTCCTCCAGTCACTGACCTGGTTTTTAGCTTGGATTTCAAACTTACTCTCCCAGTCTTCCCTTCTTGAGAAATCAGCCATCCTACAATGCTCATTAGTCTTTCCATTAACCACTATCTCTTGTCCCAGATTTTCAGTTTTACTACTATTTTCTTCAAACTCTTTCATCTCTGTTGGGACCTCTGCTTGTGCATTTATCAGGCATTGCAAGAACTCATTAAGCATTCCAGTGACTTCCCTCCAACCATGGGCCTGTCTTCAGGGAAGCAAACAATCTTCTGCTTACCCTTTCCAAAATATTTCATTAAAATTATATACGATCCTTTGATGTTCCTTTTGTATTCTAAGACATACCTCTTTCCTTCTTCAGTGCCAAATTCTTTCCAGTTTTTTTGCTTTCCTTTGAGACTTGCTCCAAGAATAAAGTCCTTGAACCATTTGATCCATCCAACACCTTCCAGTAACACAGTAGCCTTCTTAGCTTCCCTAATCTTCAAACCCAGCACTCCTCTAGCTCTCCATTCTTCAAACAGAAACTCTTTTGCTTCCACCTTCAGTGCCCTTCTCTAACGACCTGCCATCACGAATCTCTCCTCTGCCATCACTCCCGCTTAAAGTGTTCTTGACTTGGAATCAGCTCATAAAACAATATTGGTAGAAGCTCAGTCATGAACTGTTTTGGTAGGCAATGGCGTAACTAATGATCAGGTAAAAAAACTAAGATGAAACATACCTGATTTAGAGGAAAGTAGATGAATGCAGCCAACGCACATATATATAACTATCCATTTATAATATATTATAATTATTTATTATATAATATACTACATATATATTTATATATTTATTTATAATACATATTATAAATATAAAAAGACAAAAACCGAAGAATCAAACCGGTCAAAAACCAAAATCAATCAATTGGTTAACCAATGGTATCGGTTCGGTTTTGTTTTGGGGAATTAATAACAACCGGTGATACCAGTTTGGTTTCAAAAAAGAGTCCACAGTTTGGTTAATCGAGCCGTGAGCATTCTTCCCAGCTGGCAGACTTGGTGGAACTAATGGCCTCGTTGGAGCTGGTGGACTTGGTAGAGTTGGTGGGCTCAGTGGAGCTAGTGGACTTGGTAGAGTTGGTGGGCTCGGTGGAGCTGGTGGACTTGGTAGAGTTGGTGAGCTCAGTGGAGCTGGTGGACTTGGTGGAGTTGGTGGCCTCAGTGGAGTTGGTGGAGTCGGGAATCTATGCAGAGTTGGCTGATTTGCTAGGCTTGGAGGTGCAAGTGGTGCTGTTGGTGGGGTAGCCAATGTACTGTCCATGGCCGGCCTGGGTGGCCTTGGTGGTATCAGCAGTACTGTTGTCTGTTGGCGGTATAGGTGGTGGCATTGGAGGTGGTGCTAGTGGAGGTGTTGGTGGTGGTCTTCTTCTCCATCCTTGATTGGTTGCCACAATTTTACAGGTCTAAGTTGCACTGTTGGCTTGCCTTTGAATTTTAGCGTTGCTTTGGTTGGTTAAGTTTGTTAGGTGTAAGAGAGTATAAGGGTATGTTCGTCCACTTGACTACTTCATTTTGCTTCTGCTTTTACCCATTTTGAGTTGTTATAAGGTCTCTCTCATGCGATTTTTCTGATATTTCTTCTTGCAAAACTATCATAAAAGAAATGCTTTTGCTTTTCAAAAAAAAAAAATTGGAACAAGCACATCATCGATTTAATAGCTAATCAAAATATGATACAAGAAAACAACCATAGAATCAAGCAGGCAGCATACATTTCATACATCAAACAGGAATTTGCCAAATATCAAAACCATTGCCATTGAAAAAAACAGTTGAACTAGTTTATCCAACACTAGAGTAATACCAACTTACCAAGATAAGCTAGGAAAACCTTTCTTCTTTTTATGATAAACTAGAAGTAAACTTTATTAGCATGCCTAGCAACAAGATCATAAGTATAACTATAGCCAAATCGATTATCTTAAAGGTCAAAAACAATCTTACAAAAATACTCTTAAACAATCTAGTTTCTACCAGATGGAACTACACTGAAGGCCTTAATTATACATGAGCAGAATCTTCACCATAGACAATATTTAGGCAGCACCTCCCATCCAGTCATGATAGTGCCTCTAACAAATAACCAACAATGAGTTACAGAAGTTTGCAAAGTCCCGCCATTTTCAAAATCAAAGCAGTAATAACCTGTAAAATCAACACTCTAATGAGCGATCTGGTTGAGCCTGGAATTATAGAAAGACTGAAAGAATCAAAGAATATTGAAACTCCACTGTTACATGTATATCCAATTCTGATTATCTTATCCAGAGGCTGAGTCTGGTTGAGCTGCCTCTTGTCTGGGTCTCCTGCGTTCAGGTGGAGGGCCATCTCTCCGTCTTTCATATCTTCTACTCTCGTATTTTGATCCACTCCGTTGCTTTGGTTGATAAGTGGGGTATTTGCATGGTATTATCTCCCCATTAATATACTTGTCACCTAAAAGAACAGTCATAGTGAAAAGATAAGGTTCATTTAGAAACCATCAGCTCATGCATTCTTTTTAAAACAAAACAACAATAGACATAATGATTAAAAAACCAACCTCCATAATCCTTATTTTTCACATCTATATATGAATCCGGCAACACCCAAAGAACTCCAGGCAACCCTAAGTAGAGCATAGTAGCATAGAAGTAAGCACTCAGCAAACAACATAATCATCTACACAAAGGGAAAAAACACTTACCCTTGAATTTCTCAGATGTTTCTTCAGACACAGTACATTGGAATCCAGTGTAGGTGGTAGTACTAAAGGCATACATGTTCTTCTTCGCTTCTTCCATACTGCAACATTGGATGTCAAAGAAGCTCAAGAGAAAATAACACATAATGACTAGAAGGATACGTGTTTTTTTTCTAAAACAGCAAAGAAATAACCCCCCTATCCTCAACATTACATGTTAAATCAAATGTAGCCAGATCCCGATCTCACCCCCCCAACATCATGAAAAAGGAAAAAAAATAAAAATCTCCAAACCGCTACTTTCCGTAGTAAGCTAATGAAGAAAAATCTGTAATATAAAAAAAATGAATCTTTTTTATGATAAAATTCAATAATGCAATACTGAACGAAAAAAAAGTTTTGTAGCAAAAGTTCTAGCAAATAGATTAAAACAGGTAATTGGGGAAATAGTGGCACTGGTGCGAAGTGCCTTTATTCAAGGAAGAAAATAGTGGACAGCATTCCCATTTGCTAATGAGGGGGTGGAGGAAAGAAAGAGAAGAAACTTCGGAGGTTTAGTCTTCAAAATTGATCTTGAGAAAGCTTATGATAGGGTGGATTGGAAATGTCTTTGGAGGATCCTGGAGTTGAAAGGTTTTGGGGAGAAGTGGATTAGTTGGATGAAGGGATGTGTTCAAGGGGCCTGGTTCTCAATTCTCATCAATGGCTCCGCCCAAGGGTTCTTTAAGGCTTCTAGGGGACTATGCCAAGGTTGCCACCTATCCCCACTTCTTTTCTCCTTGATTGCTCATTGCTGATATTCTTGATGCCTTCATTAAGAAAGCGGCAAACCTGGGGCTTATCAGAGGTTTTAGTACTGGTATGGAGAACCTTCATTTGACTCATCTATAGTATGCAGATGACACTATCTTCTTTCTTGAGGATAAGTTGGAATTTCTCAACTTAAAGAGGGTGTTGACTTGCTATGAAGCAGTTATAGGGTTAAAAGCCAACTTACAGAAGAGCAGTATTATTGGTATTAACGTGCCTCATCAAAGGTTAGTCAAGTACAATAATACAGTGGGTTGTAAGGCGGAAACCTGGCCCATAAAATATCCCAGTTTACCTTTGGGAGATAATCCAAAAAAAGGTATAGTTTTGGGCTCCAGTCATTGAAAAATGTGAGAAGAGACATGAAACTTGGAGAAAAAATTATATCTGCAAAAGTGGTAGACTTGCTTTGATCAAGGCCTCCTTGTCTAATCTTCCTACCTTTTTCTTGTCAGTGTTTAGAGTGCCAACAAGGGTAACAAATCAGCAAGAGAAGCTCCAAAGAGACTTCTTAAGGGAAGGTGGAGGAAAGAAGGATCACTTGGTAAGGTGGGAAGCAGTCTGTAATCCCAACAAAGAAGGTGGGTTGGGTATAGGCTGCATTTCTGAGAGGAACACAGGTCTCCTAGGCAAGTAGCTTTGGAGATAATAAGAAGAAACCACAATCCATGTGGGCATCTATAATTCGCAGCAAGCATGAGAGGAGCAGAACTGAAAGGGGTAGCTTCCCTTTGGCCAGTAGATTCTGACCTAACCTTAGATTCTGTCTAGGAGATAGGAACCTAATAAAATTCTCGACAGATCTCTGGTGGGGTCCTTCCCCGTTGTCTGGCTCCTTCCCTAATCTTTTCAATCTAGTGTATGATAAACAAGTCCTAGTCACTTCAACCTTAATCACCGGCAGGCATGGTCTTTCCTTCAACTTTAATTTTATAAGAGGCCTAAACGACCTTGAGTCACATGAGTTGTCCTCCCTTCTTTTGTTGTTGTCTAATGTGTATCTAACCTCTTCCTCCCATGATAAGTTAATTTGGCCCGGCACCCCTAATGGCTCCTTCTCCACCAAATCTTTCTTCAGTAGCTTAGTCTCTAGGTCCCCTCCTTCCTCTTTCCCATCAAGTAGGGTTTGGCTTTCTTTGGTCCCTCTGAGAATATCCTTTTTCTTGTGGGAGGCAGCTTGTGGCAAGATTAATACTTGTGATGTCTTGCAGAAGAAAAGGTTAGGAAGTGGTGCATATCACTCCTCATGTCTGCATTATGTGCTTTGAAAATGGAGAATCTATTGGACACCTCTTGAGCAATTGCAAAGTGGCCCGCAGTGTAGGCAATTTCTTCTATATTTGATTTATGAAGGCAGCTTCTCTTGGATCTCTCCTAATACAGTTGATGAGTTCATATTGCAGTGGAAAGGTAGAAATCTGGGTGAAAGGGGTAGAATTTTTTGGAAGGCTGCAGTCCATGCTTCTATGTGGTGCATCTGGGAGGAGAGGAGTAAAAGGCTTTTCGAAAATAAAGCTTCCTCGGAAGTGTGTTTAAAGAAAAGGATAATGACTCAACTGATTTCTTGGATGAAGACAAACAAAGCTTTCACCAATTATAGCTATGGAGATTTAAATAGGAATCTGTTAGAGATCCTTCTCTTCTACTTTTGGCCCTCAGCCCTCCACTTCCCCATGGCCTGATTGCACTTACACTCTGAGATTTGATGGAAGTTTAAGAAGAGCATTTGACTCTCCTCCAATGGCAGGAATCGGAGGTGTTATTTACAACTCAAAGGGAGGTATTTCTTGGGTTTTTAGCAGCCCTGTTTTAGCCCAAGATGCTTCTGAGGCTGAGGTTCAAGCTCTTTTGGTGGGTTTTCGGTCAGCTAGAGATCTACAGGTGGGGTCTCTACTGGTGGAAGGAGATTCTAGAATCACCATTGGGTGGGCCAAAAGGAAAAGTGAAGGCCCCTGGAGGATCGCCCGTTTCTTGCAAGAATTTTTTGATCTCTCTGGGTACCTCCATTGCTGTTTCAGATGGATCCCTAGGAACTCCAATGTAGTGGCTGATGCTTTAGCTAAAAGTGGGCTGGGAAGGAATTTGATGCGTAGGGCAAATACGTTTCCTGTGTCTTGAGTGGGCTTTAGTTGCTTTTTTAGGAAACCCTGTTTTCCCGTGTACATCAACTCATGTAAATCCTTCCTTTCTTTTTAATGAAAGTTACCTTTTTCAAAAAAAAAAAAAAAGAAAAAAGAAAATAAGTTGTCTTTCTGAAATATTTTCTCTAAATTTGGACTTCCACAGCTACTGAAATAAAGTTGTTAATCGAATATGAATGCAAATGAAAACAATAGGACAGTTCAGAAATCAATCATCACAGAAGAACTAAAATTATTTTTATTTCAACCAAAAAAAAAACTCCTAAAATGCGTAAGACCAAATGCTGAATGCGTAAAGAAACAGTAGAAGAAAAACAACACACAGACACGGAGAGGAGAGAGAGAGAGAGAGAGAGAGAGAGAGAGAAGCGTACCTTCCCAACACAGTAGCAAGAGTGTTAAGATACGTATCGATCATCTGCTCTCTCGTTGGAGCCGGGTCTTTGGGAAACTCCATGACAATGAGCCAATGGTTGTAATCACAACCCGGTAGCAAGATGGTTTCCCTGGGCTCATTGTTATTGCTCCTCCTAGAAGTGTAGTCTCTGTCAACCGCCGCTCGAGTGGATGTCGATAACGAAGAAGAACTCAAACAAGGACGAGGTGAGAAGTAAGGTGCAGAATTGAATCGATATGAGGGAACAAGAGGAACCCGAGATATCGAAGCATAGACCGAAACAGAAGATCTTGGCTTTAAATCAGTGAAATGCGAAGACGGGCAAATTATCATCTTTGAGAGGAGAGACGAATTGAATGTCGCCATTAGAGCAGTGGCAACAGCTGAGTGAGGGAGGACTTGATCGAGCGGGAGAGAAAAAGAACGAGAAATATAGATAAGGAAGAAATGGCGCTAATTTATTTTTAGGCGGATATTTTGGGGGTTTAGGGTTTAAACGAAATGATATGGTGGAATTTCCTTTTATCTTATGGTCCACTGAGTCAAATGGCTTGACCACATTGACCGTCTGATCTGTTGACTTTGCTATTAAGATCAAACACACGATATGAAGTACACCGTTTTCACGAAACTGGAGATGACCGAGCGAAGGTGAACTGAGAGGTAAGGCACAGCAGGTTCATCACAAACCATCACCAGAATTTTAAGCGCTGAACTCTGAAGGCATTACTAAGACAATCAGATTTTACAAGAACACTATACGAACATATGGAGAAGCCGTTGGAAAGTTTCAACTCGAAGTAGTTGTGTAGTTGGAAGCTAAAGTAATCCTTTGGTTGAGCAAATGGAATGGAACGGATGAACATCGATCGCTTGCAGCAGTCAGCACCTCTGCATTCTTTAACAAGAACTTGGCCATATAAGGACCTCGTTTCTGCTTCCACTGAGCCAGTTGAGCTCTACTTTCTTGAGGGAGCTGAGAGGGAAACCAGAGACCATATGTGATTTCCAGAAGTCTTCTTCCTCGAAGCTAAACATACTCTCTCAATTTCCTCAGTATCAACCAGCTCCTGAAAGCAAAGACATTTATGAAGGACTAAAATTAAACAGAAGAAGGAAAAGATTGAGTGAAACATGCATGGTCTTTGGCAGTGATGCCCACCCAATCAAGATGCCGGGGTTCGTCCATTTCCAATTTGAGTATCTTCACGTTTGGACAACATCTCTGCAGGGAAAATATCCCAGGCAGGCAATTCTTTTATTATCATCATCGACACCCTCATACCCAACTGCTTGAGAGTTGAGACAGTCGAGTTCAGGATCAGGAGGAGGCGAATTCCAGCACTCTTTCAACCCCAAAGGAAGAATCTTCATATGGAAAGCACAAATGCAGACTCAACATAATACTACTGTTTTCGGACAACTTAATTATCATACCTGAAAACACCAGCTGCTCAATGCTAGAGATCTAACGTGGCTTAGATCTTTCAGAAGTGAAATTGTAAATCCGCCTTGGTGGTGGGGCTGTACGAAGGGTTGTTCAATACTGATAGTCGCATCAACCAGAAGTTTGGCATTCTTAACAGCGTGTGGTGGCATGTGCCTCCCATGAGTTCTGAAGGATAACAGACAGGAGAAGATATATTGACCACAAAAACTGGCTACCCATTATTAATGCCATTGCTTACAATTTAAACTCGGCTCACAGTTGAATAACCCGAGAGGAATATGACATAGACGGAGGGTCAGTTCCTCTAAAACTGGACACCAAGAAACTAGAGTGCCAATGGAGCCACCAAGCAGGAATACCCGGACCAAGGACAGACTTTAAGAAAGCTAAACACATTTAAATTAGATGGTTTAAGCTTGCAGAAACTCAACTGCAGGACTCTCAACCATGGGGATGCAAAGGGATGACGAGGTAAGCGAAAAACTAAGCTCAAGCTTCTCAACTTTGTCACGGTAAAGTTGATCCAATTGGTCAATCATAGAAGTACATCTAGAATTTATATTTATATATATATATATACAACAAAGCAGTCAAAAATTTTTTTCTTTTTTTGAATTTTTTATTTTTTTATTCCATTTCATTTTTGAAATAACCAATGAGATGCACTTTCCCAATAACATAAATAATATTTTCTCCTAAACTACCTCTCCACTTTCTCTAAAATTATCTCTAATTCCTATTTATCTTCTAAATTATCACTAATTCCTATTTATCTCCAAAATTATCTCTAATTTACTAGAGAGTTTCTCTCCTAAATTATCTCTAATTCCTATATATATATATAGATCACAACATATTTAAAACACAATTTTTAATTTTTAATTTTTATTTATTTTAAATAAATTTATTTAAAAAATACTAGTATCTGAAAACATTTTGTGTATTTGGGTCCCCACGGGGAACCCATCCCCGTCGGGGATCGGGGATGGGGTTAATTTCAGAATCGAGGTCGAGAACGAGGAATATGATCCCCACCCTGTTGCCATTCCTACACACCTTATAGTTTTACTTATTTACTTAAACCTACCTTATAGTTTTCATTTTACTAAAACATCTCATATATTTTGCAACTTATTTACTTAATCAACATTTCATTAATAAGTGCTTGGTTTGCCATTAGGCCCATGATTTTCTATTCCAAAAATACCCTTAACACTTTTCCCACTGTCATCTAATGGAAGATTGATTAAATCCACTGCAAATTATATGTGGTGTTTTAGTAAAATGCTAACTATACAGTAGATTTTAGTAAATCCATGAAAACTATAAGGGGTATTTTATTTTATGACCATTTCTATTATTTAGGTTTCTCTTAATAAATCTCGTGCATCGCACGGGTCCCTGCTAGTATGCTTCATATAGTAGAGAGAGAGAGAGACCAAAATGGTCTATCTTAAGACCAGAGTGAAACAAGAGGGTTCGGTGCACAAACTCTACAAATCTCTGCACCTTCCTCCCAATTGAATGTTGCCAACATTGGTAAGAGGAACCTCTTAGCACCTCATCACACAAAAGGCATCCTGAGCTTCTGGTTGTCTAGATCTGTGACTCATCTAGACATATAATTAGAATGCAAGTCCACATCTATCTCCATATTTTTGACAAAACACTAATCCTAACCCAATCTTTTAGTGGTAGAAAGGATAAGATGTAGAAAAGAATGCTTTCTAGGAGACCGTTTAAGATATCAGGGCTGTCGTTGATGCCATTGATATCGCCTCTTTTTTCATCCTCCATTTCACAATACTCGATTACAGAAAGTGTGATAATCTTCTGGATCCCCAAAAGAAGACTAAAAATGTAAACTAGGGTTGTTCATAAGAAGGTCCAAACCAACCAACCTAGTCTGACCCAACCCGAGTTAGTTGGATTTTCTTCAGCACTGGTCGGTTTCGGGTTACAAAAAAGTATAAACCGATGGTTCAGTTCGGTTTTGGTTTTCACACATGAAAATCGAAACTGAACCGACCCAAACAGATTTAGTTCATATTTTTCCACATAATTTATAGGTTAAAGTATTGTTCATATTTTTGTAAGAATGACAGTTAAAGTACTTTAACCAGTTACTTGGTTTGACTAGAACCGTCATTCTACCTATGAATCCAAAGTTCTTCATGTCCAACCCCTTATCTCTTCCCCCATAACTCAGAACCAACTCCACCACCTGTCCAAAGCAACCCAATTTCATCAACTAATTAATGGCATGCACATGCATAGAATACAGAGCAGGAACACCATCATCCACCATCCTCCTCAATAGCGCCAATGCCCCTTCCACCCTCCCTGCCTTACATGCTCTCAATACCATCGCGTCGTATGTTCTCGGGTCCACTTCTAACCCTTCTTCCAGACTCAGGACTCCAGTCGTAGCCTCTAAGTCCCCAGCGACACAAAGGACGGTCAACATGTAGTTGTAAGAGGTAACGTCTGGAGTGATCCCATTGTCTTTCATCAGTGCTAATATGTGTCAGGCCTCCTCTATGCTCTTCTTTCTTGTCAAAGCGTTGAGAATGGGGTGGAAGGTGTAGGCATTGATGTCGTGTTTGCCCCGAATCATTGTGTCAATGAGGCAAAGAAATCTTTCTGTTTGGTCCAATTTGTAGAAACAAGCGATTAGGGCACCAAAGGCGCTCTTGCGAGCGAAGCCTTTGTCAAGATGACTTAGGGTCTGTATCAGGTCACAGAGGTCATCTTCGGCATCAGTGATGAATTTGAAGGTATTGGTGGTGTTGAAGCATCTGTCTTTGGTGCGTTTGTTGAAAAGATAGTGGAGGGTGGTGAAGTCTCTCGAATGACCGGTGATGTTGACGAGTTGGTCATAATGAGCTTATGTGGGTTTATCCGGGTCTGTAAATTCTAGTTTAGCTTTCTCATCGATATCGGTGGTGTTGCAAAGGCAATGGGAGGTGATGTAGAAGAAGGAAGCATTAGGTGTCGTCAAGATCTCTTTTGCGTTTTTTTTTTTATTTGGAGGATAAACATGGTTCAGACTTCAGAGCCATCGGAGGGTGGCTGAGAGGACATGATAAGTTCTAGGAGGAAAAGAAGGAAGCCACATCAGTTCTTGATGCTTCAATATCTTTTTGGGGAGAGAAAATGGAAATGTAAAAAAAAAAAAAGAGGCATGTTTCTACATACTCAGCAAGCTATGAATCCTTCACAAAACCGACCCAAACCAACCAAGTCGGTTTCACTTAGTACAAGGTCGGTTTTGGTTTCATTTCTAGGTAAACCGAGCATGTCGGGTCGGTTGGAAAAACGCCAATAAACCGACCCAACCCGACCCGTGAGCAGCCCTAATGTAAACCAGAGGCTCTGTTAGAGGAACTTTGAATTGAAAACCGTAAAGCAAAGAGAAAGGAAAAGGGTAATGACACCACGGAACTAGTAGTGCTTGATAGTGAGACCACTCATCGGGCCCATGCACCATCTTGCGTATCCCATCCACCGACTTCATCAACACCAATGTCTATCGTAACTAACCAAGATAAGCTCTACCTCTAACAATTCGGTGTATATCCTTGTACTCTCATGTTTATCATTGTATAGATAAACCTTATCTCAACTCAACTATAAATACAATAACTGATCATGTATATCATCATCGTTTGACCTTCTTTATGGTATTAGAGCCATTACAAAACTGCATCCGATTGGCACAGTTGCTTCAACAATGTCCACCTCAAATTCAACATCTATTGATGCCAATTCAACCATACCAGCTCCTATGTCTTCGTCCTCAGTCCTGTCTTCATTAGTGATCTTAAACATCTCTAATCTTGTACATAAAGCTAGACAACACAAACTATTTACTCTGGAAATCGTTGTTTGAGCCCATACTCAGATGACATCATTTCATGTCCTTCATTGATGGATCAAAACCAGCTCCAAGTGCGAATGATTCAACGTTTACTACCTGGTATGAAAATGATAAGATGTTATTATCCTGGATTCAAGCCACTCTATCTACCTCAGCTCTCCCATACATGGTTGGTGTGA